AATTCATTACTGCTTCCCTCTTGACTACCTACAAGAGAGCATTTGACACACTAACCACAATATTCATTTTGCATTGAAAATAAGAAAATAAGGTTGAATAAAATGTTAGTGATTCTGTTTTGGACAGATAATGGACTGTGAAATGTGTATGTAAGGAAAATGGTGCTGAACTGCAAACTGACAACCAATATACCCAGAAAAAGGGCACGAAGTGAGAGCAAATGCAGATAGATGTCATTTCTCAAACAGGTAGTACACCTCCGAAGACTATCAAGTACCAATAGAGGGACAATGACATGTTAGTTATAATGCATTCCCAGCTAAATTCTAAAACTCACAGGCATGATGGTCACAGCTTGATGCAACAGGTTGGAACACATTTTGTCAACATGCGACCTTGTTCTCCGACAAGCAGCAATAAGTGCTTGCAATTCGGATCTGAAGATAGCTGCAGGAAAAAAAGATCAAAATACAGTAAATATAGGTCAGTTAACAAGGATTCTCTAAGATACTGGGTGCATAAATCAAGTCAAATGCACGAAAAACAACTCACGTGATGCCAGGTCAGTCAATGTCATACGAATTCTATTACGAGTAAATAATGCGCTTCTGTTTGTGGGATCTTCAACCCATTCTTGATTGGCACCTAGACATATCTGCAATACAAGGTAATGCAACTTTAGAAGCTTCCAATGAACTAGGAAAAGGAATAACCCACTCAATCTTTTCAGCAAAATGCAGCAGATGCAGTTTAATCATTTTAAGATCCTCATGAAACATTAACCTGAAAAATTCTACATACAGATTCAGAAAAAGCCATTCAGAGTTCAAAGACTACTATGAAAATCCTCCAAAACGCCAAATGAAAAAACTAACCTTATACATATCTTCTTTAGAGAACTCCAGCAGAGGTCTCACCAATAAAATTCCTTCGCCACTCGCTTCAGCACTTAAATCTGGACATGTACAGAACAGCTGTGAAACAAATGCCATTCCGGCAAGTCCAAGCACACCACTATTACGAGATAACCTGAGAATGAATAGTTCCGCCTGTAAAGTACTCCTATTAGCGATTGCCAAGTCTACTGTGTTAAAATCTATAACGTTCAACTAACATTTGGATGAGGCAACATCAAATGTATTCAAATAACATTAGCATAACTCTTTTTCGATGTATTGACTTAAACAGATAGCATCTGATAAAGTGCTAATTCAGAAATATAAACATGCAAGGATACACAGAGTAGAAGCTGTAATGGCATACCTGGTCATCTGCATGGTGTGCAGTCATCAACACACCAATCTGATGCCGGATGCTAGCACTTTGGAGAATTTCATACCTGAACAAATGACAAGGGACAAATTATTTACTCACAATAATGACAAAATTATTTATTTATTTATTTTATAGCCCTGGTTTTTGCTCTTTTCGATATCTGTATATATGGCCTTAGCACAGCCTTTGTGCTACAATTATATAATAGGTTATCATTCTCAAAAAAATAGTGAACAAAATTATTTACTCACAATAATGATAAAATTGTTAACATCAGGATGAATGTAGATAACATATAGTCAATAAAGAAACCAGCATGCACAGATATGACAAGGCTCAGGAATAGCATTTAGCTGAAGAAAAATTGAAACTCTTGTAATCACCTCTTCTCGCGAGCTGCTTCTTGCAAGTGACCCTGCTTCGGCTTGCCTTCTGACCATTCACAGCAAGCAATCTCACATTTGATCCCTATACAAGGCCTACATTATATCTCTATTAAAAGGTGTTAAGCAATGCTATTAAATTCAAGACGAGAAAAAGAAGTTGAAGGAATATATACCCATGCTTGTGACTCGACGGTGAACAAGGTTGGCCTCATCTTTACTCTCAGCACGCAGTCCATGATCAACTACCACTGCCAAAAGCCCGTCAATGAACTCATTCTTTTGAGCAGCAATACCAAGGCTATTGGTTTTCCATGCAGCAGTTAACACACAGAGGGCCATGCTATCAGGGCCACCAGAGACTCCCAAAACTACAGAAAAGGTTGAAGAAAGCTCAGATCCATGGTCACGATAAGGTAATTAGTTGGAAATTGTTGAGTGGCACGTATTCAAAGTCTTCTTTAAGAAGTGTTAAGAGAATGATCTTTGGGTCTAACTCAATTCCAAAAGCTAGCTCATGAGGTGAGGATTGTCTAAGCATATAAGGAAACAATAAACCATATCCTCAATCAATGTGGAACTCTAGCACCTCCTGCCCACCCAATGCTGGATATTTTGGAGCATAGATAACATAACATGAGAGCCCACCATTTGGTAAACCAAGAATAGGGATAAGCCAGAACCGTGTAAAGAGAATGAATCTTAGGCCTAACGCAACCCAAATGCTAGCTTATGAGGTGAGGCTTTTTTTTTGATAAGGTAAATTGTATTAATCAAAAGGGAGAAAAAACTCCAGCATACAAGAAGTATACAAAAGAGTAGAGAATTTACATCAGAACATGATTCTCTACAAATGACATCCAGTCTTCTACACAAGTATGGGCTATATGTGTGCACCAAAAAGCGATCAAAGATAAAAGACTATTCTCTTATGAGGTGAGGATTGTCCAAGCATATAAGGAAACAACAAACCATACCACTGTTGAATTATGTCACTATCTCATTTAAAAGCTTAAATTGTTAATGAAACCACACATTTATTGCATTAATTACGTCTTCACGCCTCCCATGTACGGCCCTGATTTTTTATTAGACATGCCCGTGAAAATTATTTTTGATAATAGATTCGTGAAAACTCTTTTTGATAATAGATGGCAATGAGACTCTGATACCATGTTGAACTTCTTCGTCATCTCATGTAAAATCTGTTAGAGAGGGTACATTTTTATTTACTTAATTATATCTTCAACACGCCCTTCAATGGAGGCTTGATTCTTTTGTGTGACTATAAATCATATGATTAAGGGTAAAATGAGAATTTTAAAGTTAAATTATTTTTAAATATAAAAAGGTGACATTTTTTCCGGACATACTAAAGGTGTGTTGGTAGGGAGGAAAACATTTTAATTATTTTTGATAATAGATACGTGAATTTTTTTTTTGATAATAGATGGCAATGAGACTCTGATACCATGTTGAACTTCTTAGTCATCTCATGTAAAATCTGTTAGAGAGGGTACATTTTTATTTACTTAATTATATCTTCAACACGATAAGGGTTTGATATTTTTGTGTGACTATAAATCATATGATTAAGGGTAAAATGAGAATTTTAAAGTTAAATTATTTTTAAATATAAAAAGGTGACATTTTTTCGGACAGACTAAGCGTGTGTTTGGTAGGGAGGAAAATATTTTTCAATATTTTCCCATTTTCCCATGTTTGGTTGACATAAATAGTTTAGAAAACATTTTCCCTATCAACATATTTTTCTTTAATTGGGGAAAAATATTTTTCCTAAAATTTTAAGGGAAAACATTTTCCTGAAAACAAAACGCGCGTCTCGCTTCTCTCCGATTTCTCTGTCTTCAGTCTCGGGTTTTAAGATCCTCCGCCATCACACCAATCTAGGGTTTTGGCGAAGCTTTACTCTGTTCTCCTCCGTTCGCCGCCGCGCTAATCTACCGTTTTCCGGCAACAACACGGTATTTTTCGTCGATGCTTTGCAATGTAGTTTTTTTCGTTTTTGGTTTTCTGTTGTTTCATCTTTATTTTCCTAAATGCTTTGTGATCTTTGATTGTGCTTTTGTGTTCTGATTTGTCGATCTCTCTACTTCTGGTAAACTATAGTAAATGTTAGAAGTTAAAAAAAATTTCCTCCATTTTTCTTCTTATATAACAACAACAACAACAACCCAGTATAATCCCACTAGTGGGGTCTGGGGAGGGCAGTGTGTACGCAGACCTTACCCCTACCCTGGGGTAGAGAGGCTGTTTCCGATAGACCCTCGGCTCCCTCTCTCCAAGAACTCCTCACCTTGCTCTTGGGGTGACTCGAACTCACAACCTCTTGGTTGGAAGTGGAGGGTGCTTACCACTAGAGCAACCCACTCCTTTTCTTCTTATGATTTCTAATAATAACAAAGAAAGGTTGCTCTATAGTGTGTAGAAAGATTAAAGTTTCTAATATGTAGTACCATTTTTAGCATCTGTTGCTCGTACTAATGGTACAAATGCAAATTGGCTTTGGTACTTCTTTTTTCTTGAAGAGTCAGTTACATACCTTTAATCCACTCTTTTCATATTTTGCAGTACTTTTTCTTCAGTGACAGCTTTAATCCCACATTAATCCTAATCTTCTCCGAATGATTGTATGATGTGTATTAAGTTGGTTGTAATTCTTTAGTTAACACCAATGAAAGTAAAGGATCTGTATGGACAGTATACTAGAAACGAAAAACCTACAGATTCTTATATCTTTGGGCTATTTGAGTGATTTACTAGTTCCAAGTTCGATTTCTTTTACGCTCTTTAATGTTTTTATCCATCCATTTTTATGAGTAGAAGTTCTAAAGTTGGGTTGCAACAGATGGATTCGATTGAGAACGACGAAGATGATGCAATAGTTGGAGCGGCAGCCACATTTATCTTAGCTGTTGGGCTGCAATTATTTTAGCCTACGAAAATCAAAGTAACATTCCTAGAGCACCTTATACCAATAAGGACCAAGAGAGGGAATTTTACATAAATAGTATTCTGAATGGAAGTAATGTTCATTGTGTAGGTCAGATAAGAATGAGCCAACCCGTATTTTTTGAATTGTGTAATGCTCTTAGAAGAAATAATTTCTTGAGATCAATCAAAAATATGTCCGTGCAAGAACAAGTACTAATTTTCTTAGAAGTTGTTGGTTTTAATGAACGGTTTCGCAAGATAGGGTCGCATTTTTATAGGTCGATTGAATTTGTTCAACGATGTTTCCACGCCATACTTCAAGCAATTTTGAAGCTCTATCCAACCCTTGTGAAATCACCGAATGATACTATCCAGTNCTTGAATCTATTCATCGATGCTTCCACACTGCACTTCAAGCAATTTTGAAGCTCTATCCAACCATTGTGAAATTATCGAATGATACTATCCAGTTGGAGATAAGGAACAACCATCCTTATTACCCTTGGTTTGCTGTGAGTAACATATTAAATATTAAGTTTTTAATTAATTTTGAACATCAGTATATATTATTAACTTTAGTTGTACATATAGGATTGTGTAAAAACAATAGATGGCACACATGTGCTTGCATCTGTTCCTATCGAACACCAAAATAGGTATCGTGGCCGCAAAGACACAACAACACAAAATGTCTTGGCTGCTGTCAGCTTTTATTTGAAGTTCACATATGTGCTTGCTGGTTGGGAAGGATCTGCTCATGACTCGCGCATATTAAATGATGCATTGGAGAGACCACGGGGGTTTCAAGTCCCCCAAGGTATCTTATTCAACCTAAAGTAGTTCATAAAAAGAAAAAAATAAATATGTATATTAATTAACTTTGATTTTGCTTTGTAGATAAATATTATATTTTGGATGCGGGATATGGCCTTTGTAAGGGGTTTATTCCTCCCTATCATGCAGTACGCTATCACTTACAACAGTATAGTGATTGTCCTCCCCAAAATGAGAAAGAATTGTTCAACCTCCGTCATGCATCATTGAGATCTGATGTTGAACGTGCTTTTGCTATTCTCAAGAGACGGTTTCGTGTGATTGATAATGAACCCTTTTGGGACTTTAAAACATAAGTGGATGTGGTGTTAGCATCATGCATTTTACATAATCACATAATCGATTTGGAGCCAAATGACCCAATAATAATACAAGAAGTAGACGGGCAACCATAAGTTCAAACACAAAATGCTCAAATTACTCACAGTTCTCAAGGGAGTCAAACCTATCAGACACCTAGAGAAAGACGTGAAGAAGCTAGGGAATGGTCATTAAAAAGAGATGATATTGCTCATGCCATGTTTACAAACTATGATCGGAGGAGGAATAGATGAATTTAGTCTATCAAGAAATAGATTTTTTATAGTCATCTTGGTTTTAATTGTTTGTGTTTCCATATACTCTTATGTATAGTGACTTTACATTCTGTATGATTCAGTTGTCTTATCTCTATTTATCTTAAATTTCATGTTTGGCATGTTTCCTATAACAGTTAACAATGGTAAAAAAAGGAGATAAACAGTTTAGGTGGTCAAAACCAATGCAATATTTGATGTTGGAGATCCTGGATGATGAAGTGAAACAAGGGAATAAATCAACTAATCAGTTTAAGGCCATCTCATTCAATCGTGTTTCGGATGCCATTAAGCAACAACTAGGAATGGAGGAGTGTACACCTAAGCATGTGGAGAATCATCTCAAAACACTAAGAAGTACATGGAATACAGTGCAAACTCTACTAAATAAAAGTGGTCTTGGATGGGATGATAGCTTGAAGATGATTACTGCCAGTCCTAGAGTTTATGCTTTACACGTTCAGGTAAAATATTTTTATATATATACTTTCCTTATAGTTATTACATAGTTGTAGTAATAATTACTCTTTCTTCTGATAGTTTTCTCAGCTCTATAGGAAATGAAATTTGCTGTTGACTACACATACTACTACTTTAAGTAATTCTTATATTCTGTTAAGTTATTCGTGAATTTGTAATCCCAAAGTCATGGTATTACTTTCTCTTTATTGTGATACTAACAATTTCCAAAAGTCAAAAAGGCTTCTTGGGTTTATAGGCAGTATTTTTGCCCAAGGCTGAAGTATTTGTTGAATGACAATAACATTCATATTTTCTGTTCCAATGGATCTGAAGATCCCTATTCTCGAGCTCGAGTCATTGATTGTATTCCTTTAAGTGGCTCTTTCAAGATTGACATCCTGATTTATGAGCTTGTGATCTCTTGATGGTGTCTTTGTCTGGCTAATTTCAATTCAAGAATTTGAAATATTTGGTGCGCATTACTACTTACTAGGTAGATAACTTTCATGCTTGGCACTTGGTAGTGAGGTTTTGTGCAGGAAGTGCTCTATCTTTACTTTGATATCATTAAGTCATTCCGTATCCTTTTAAAGTAAATAATTGATGTTTAAGGAATCTAGGAATCTGTTTCTCTATGAAAGGGCAGGAAAAATCAAATCCAATCCAGAGCTGCTTCTACACACTGCTGCCTCTCTGGTGTATATATGGCATAATCAATTTGTCCATTTGTGTTTGTGATGATGGTGCCATTTAGAACCCTATCTGCAGTGTGTCTTATGTGAAAAGGCAATTTGTATCTAGTGTTACCCATCAAATTGCTAATGTTTCATGTATTTGCGCCTTCAGGAGGAGTTCGAGCAGTATGCTGAGAAAGCTAACACATTGCCTGAGAACACAACCAATGAGAACTTACTACTACTATTATTTTGTTTTATCCATTTTGTAATTTTTTCCTTTAATCTGCTAGTAACTTCTTGTTAGCTTGATAAGAATAAAGAGTAACATTATTAATCCTAATAAAGAGTAACATTATTAATCCTAATACATGTGTCTGTTTGTTGGGTCACATAGCCTTGCATTGGATTTGATTATTTTGTTACGTTAGAATTTACATTCTAAATTTGATGGATTGAAGTTTGGAGCTAGTCTTTCCTGTAGATTCTTTGTTTCCTTATGTTTCATTGGGCAATAAATACATGGTTTTTGTACAGGAACTTCTTGCTTGTAAGAATTTTATATATAAACACTTTTTTGCTCATATTAACAAGGCATTCAAGTGGCAAAGATTGAGTTACGATAGTCGTGGTTGGTCCTAAGGGTTGATCCTAAGGGTTGGCCCTAGACAGATTTCTCCATCATTAAAAAAGCCAAGGCGTTCACTTTTTCTTAGCTCTTCTGGAACTGCATTTGTTGTTGAGATATTATGGTATTAACAGTAGATAGTCGTGAGAGGAGTTTGAGTTGATTGTGATCACATACCAAGTTGATTGTGATGTCCCCTTGCGAAGTGGTATCAAGAATGATTTCTCTTGTCGGAAAGCACAACTATTCATGTTTATATTTAAAGGTAACAATTTTGGGGTTCTAAATTTATGGTGTCTGTCATCTTGGTTTTATACATTTTCCCTACCATGTGAAGTAGTACATTTACCTTGCTTGTCCTGTTTACTGTCTGTTTAGCTGGATTAGCTGCTATATTGGTGGTTGTCTGTTACTGTCTTGCTTGTCCCGTTTCTTATACTTTTTGCTTTGTCGTTGTATTATAGGCTCATCCTACTCATGAGAACTTCATTAACAAAAAGATTGAAATGTTTGAAGAAATGTCCCTCATGTGTGGGAATGATCGAGCTAGGGGTGATTGTGCTAAGTCGTTTGATGATATAGGCTTGGATTGTAGTTCGGAGAAAGGTAATGATAATGACATTGAAGGGCCATCAAAGGAAAAAGATGTGCAAGACGTAGTAAGTGAAACTTCTCAAGTCAAAGCAAGTCGTAAACGAAGTCGTTCTTCTGATGTGCAAGATGTGGTCGGTGATATATCAACAAAGCTTGGAGAAGTGGCAGCGGCAATCAGTAAGATAACTGATAGTCGATTAGATGTGACAAGATTGTACGAAGAAACTATGGCAACAGAAGGTTATGAAGAAGAGTTCTTAGGTGAAGCTTTTGATTATTTGGTGCAAAGTGATATGTTAGCTACAGCATTCATGGCAAAAAATCAGAATCTCTGCAAGGTTTGGCTGGAAAGATTCAAGCGACAACACTAAAATACACAAATGGGGTTGGAAGAACAAAGCTAGAATATGAAGCAATTGTTATAGGAAAATATTTTGTTGCTTGTCTAATATGGTCTGTGATACTTGTGTGATGTTTTTTCTCATGTCTACTTGCTTCTTGAGTACTCCTATATTGAGAATGGTTATTATGGAGTTGCTCATATTTCTTCTCTTTTATCTGTGTACAGACGTTTATCGTTGTTAGCCTGAATCTTATATGTTGCAAGAGATTATATAATAGAAATATTGTTTAGAGTAATTTTTTCTCATGTTGTAGATAGAATAATTTCTTTTTCATTTTAACAAAATGAGTATTTTCTTTTCATAATATAGAAAGAGTATTTTCTCTCATTTCAACAAAATGAGTACTTTCTTTTTGTGTTGTAGAAAGAGTACTTTCATTTTGTTTCAACAAGAAAAAATATTTTCTTTTCAGCTATAGAGCTCAAATTTCAACGTTCTTGTGTGAAAAAGTAAATAAGCATATTAGTTTTTTTGGGTTTATGTGAATATTTTAGAAGAATAATTGAATTTTTGAAGAAAAATGTAATTGTTGGAAGGGGGAGGAGAGCCTAGGAAACATGGGAATTGGGGGAGGGTGGGGGTGAGGAGAGTATGCTAAGAAAAGATTTTCTACTCTGTAACCAAATACTACAAAATATTTTTCGAAACAAGGTTTAAGGTCACCGACCAAACATGAGAAAATAAAGTGATAACACCATTGATTTTCCAGGAAAATATATTTTCAAGGATTCATACCAAACACACCCTAAAAGGAAAATGTATAAAGCTGCATTTTTTCCAACTTTAGCCTATTCTTTCTTAATAATACCCACGAAGTAAAAAGGGGAAGGAAGGAAGGGGAGCAAAACTGACCAATACGATGATGGGGTTTGAGACCAGCCATAGCCATACGTTTTGCAAATGTGTCTGAGTATGCTGACATGTCGATTGGTACATTTTCTTGGCGGTGAGTACTGCAACGGCTGCACAGAAAGCGAGAAGAAGAGGGAGTGAAAAGAGAGAAATGGAGGTGAGTCGTGGAAGATGAAGAAGGGTAATTTAGGAATTTTGTTAAGCGTGAAGCTTCAGAAATGGAAGTTAAGAGTAACTGTGAAGAGTTTTTAGTCTGTGGACAAACAAAGAAGCCTCGCGCCATTGACATAAGCTAAGCTTTGCGGTTGAGAGTTGAGAGTTGAGACGAGAGGCCGTGAGGTACACTTGATAAAAATGAGGAAACGGTGTCGTTTTATTTTCCCCCCCTTTTTATTTATAATATTGTAACTTTTTTCTCAGTTAGCAAATTTGAGAATTTATCGTTTCACATCAGGAAGTACTTTATAGAAATCTTGCAACCTAAAATATACTAAAGAATAGTGGATTATCATAGTCAATGCTACTACTCTACTAATATGAATATATTACATTTCTTAGACTTTTTAACTTTCGCCTTCTATTTATATGATTTTATTTGATTAAAGATGAAATACACTACTAAATTTAGTTATGTATATATCTTAGTAACAAAAAATATTAAAATTGTGATCGAAAAGTTAATTCGTAAAACAATATTACATCAATTTATGTAAAATAATGGAGTAAATAATATTCATGTAATGAGTTTTAACATTCTGTTCCATTTAAATGCAAAAAGTATGACATTATAAATTAGTTTGAAGGAAATGAAAAAAAAAAGTAAATAGAAAAATGAAGAAACTAAAACATTATAAACCTCCATGAGATCCTATACCCCCCTCCCCCCCCCCCCCCAAACAGCTTTTTTTTAATCCCAACAACCTTTACCCTACCACTAGCCAACACATAATTGGTTTATCAAATGACCAATTGCATATCTAAAATATAAAGTTATAAACAAAAAATGTATTCTCCTTTTTTCTCAAATTTCACCAAACTATATAAGCCAAAAAAGATTATAGCTTTGTCAAGGAGACACTGGAAACAATTGTATGGTCCACAACAAAATTTGTCAATTGGCAACATTGATGTAATTCTCCTTCATTCATACTTCTAATGTTTTCAGTAGGATTTTCTCTTATTTATTGACACTAAAACCCAAAATTCTTGCAAATCGAAAATAATGTAAATGGTTATACGTGTCCTCTTGCTAATTGACGTGGGCTTCACGGTAAAATCAAACAAATAAACTATAAACTTCCCAGCTACTGGATTCACTGAAAAGGAGAACTAAGCCTCAAGATTTCCCCAGAAATTTCAGAAAACCCCAAGATATATTTCTGGAAGATTTTACCTTTAACCAATAAAGCAAACATCTTTATAATCATATTCCAATCTTGTAAACTAGGTAAGCAAATTCAACCCCTTTTTCTTGTCACCACATATCTTTGTATTAGTGCTCTCTTCTTTTCTCCTCCACCTTTCCCTTCTGAAAAATCACAGTGTTTATCTGACTGCTTCACTGAGCATGTTTAAGAATATCTCTTTAGTTTCCAAAGTTTAGATCTTTGAGAAAACTGTGATCTTTTCTTATGCTTATTGAAGTTTTCTTGGCTTTTAAACTGATATGATGGTTCCAGTTTTATCCATCATTTTGCTGAAATGTCCATTAAAAGGGGTCTTTGTGTTTAAGGGTATTGACCCTTTGCAGTTGTCACTCCGATTTTATTTAGAAAAGCAACAACTCTGACAGCAAGAATTGGTTTATATGTCTGTTTAGCTTGTTTAATTCTTGAACTTGCCAATTTGAATATATAGGTTCATGTTTTTTTTAAGTGGTGTCTGGACGGCTAGCGTGCACCTTGACTATTCCATCGAGTACTGGCTACCTCTCACCAACATAGGTACCGGGTAATTTTGTCACCAATTTTAGGCAATTTATTGGTTCATGTTAAAGTTGTCCTTTTTCTGAATTAAATTATGCTATTTTATGCAAATGCACTGATTAAATCCAGAAGTTATTACTATAGTTGCAAAGCTGAAGGCATCATCAATTTCAGATTCTTACTAAAAATGGGGGCTTCAGAAGCAGCCCTTCACTTTTTATCCGGGGAGTTTTCCTGTCAATTCCGAACAAGTTCAATCTTGGCGAAGTCGAGCTCTCTACTTTGCTATGAGCATTGTTTAAAAAGTAGAAATTTTGGGGACATGCGGTATCAGCAGATCAAGGGTTTAAGTAAGTGGAAAAAATGCTCAAGTTTAAATGCTTTTCGCGGCATACATAGTGTTTTTGGCGGAGAAAAGCTTCGTAGTCGCTCCAAATCATTGATCTGCAATTGCCAACAACCTGAAAGATTCAATGAGGCAATCATTAAGAATGGAAATGGGAGGTCAATTCATGCAATCAGTTCAAAAATTCCAAATCATGCTCAAGATGAACAGATGATTAAGCAGGAAAATGGAGCTCAGCTTTTCAGTAAAGGTTTGAAAACTGCTGCCACGGTTAATAGTGCTTTTCCTAGGACCAACACGGACTCTATTGAAGATGAAGCGTGGCATTTCTTGCGAGCAGCCATGGTTTATTACTGTGGCACCCCAGTTGGAACTATAGCTGCTAATGATCCAAGTGAAGCAACTATGCTAAACTATGATCAAGTATTTATACGTGATTTTATACCTTCTGGGATAGCGTTCCTACTAAAAGGAGAATATGATATCGTGAGGAATTTCATACTTCACACACTTCAGTTGCAGGTAAAATGTTGTTTTGAGTTTCAGCTTTACCTGTTTCATATTGGAACGTGTCGCTTTTGTCATATTTACTTGTTTATGGTGATTCAGGATGTGTGTTGCCTGTTACATAAAGACAATTTTGGCTCGTCCTGATCCCAAACTAGTCTCCTTACTATGGAAGATAGTGTCTCTACATTGCCAATTCTGCTGGCAAATTTCCTTCGGATTAAGCAATTATATGTAATATCTGCTGGTCTGCTGGCCATTTTATGCCCAAGTTAACTTTGTGAACTCATTATTTATGCTTTCCCTACTTACTGAGTTTTTGCAATTTTCCTTGTTCATGTATGTACCAATTACTCCTAACATGCATAATCTATCTTTAACTTCCATGGCGTTGCATGTTGTACGATTAGCTGCAATGAGATTGTAACAGCCCAGTTCACTAGTGATATTATCCGCTTTGGGCCTAGGCCTGCACGGCTTTAAAATGTGTCACTAGGATCTAAGGTCTATTTACTTATATACCCAGCATCTCTCCCGTATTTTATCTATGTGGGATTCACCTAGGTTGTCACATACACCCCTTTTAGGGACTCAGCGTTCTCGCTGAGGTTTGCCCCACCATCGTCCAAGGTTGCACGCGGAGTGGCTCTGATATCATATGTAGCAGCCCAACCCACTAGTGATATTATCCGCTTTGGGCCTAGGCCCGCACGGCTTTAAAACGCGTCACTAGGGTCTAAGGCATGTTTACTTATATACCCACCATATCTCCCGTGTTTTATCGATGTGAGATTCTCCTAGGATGTCACATAGATTTAGTAATTCCCTGAAATGTGGCCGTAGGTTGCCATTAGTTAGAAGTAGTTTTCCCATGTGATGTGTAAGAAAAATGTTATTGGACATGTGTGAGACTCATTAAGGAGATTCACTTTACTTAACTTGGTGAAGTTGAAAAAGTTTAGCTCTCATAAGTTTTTTGCCCTAAGCATGTCGTCCTATTCCAAACAGAGTTGGGAGAAAACAATGGATTGCTATAGTCCAGGTCAAGGACTGATGCCCGCCAGCTTCAAAGTGCGTACTGTTCCACTTGATAATGACGAATCTGCAACAGAAGATGTATTGGATCCAGACTTTGGTGAGGCAGCAATTGGTCGAGTTGCACCTGTTGATTCAGGTGATCTTTTGTAACTTTTGATGCATGTATTTTGTATAGAAAATTTAAGGTTATCTGAAGATTTTTACTCTATTAATAACTCCAGGATTGTGGTGGATTATACTGCTACGAGCATATGGGAAATGCTCTGGAGATCTTTCTCTTCAGGAGAGGGTTGATGTCCAAACTGGAATGAAGATGATCCTTAAGTTATGTCTTGCAGATGGTTTTGATATGTTTCCAACTTTGTTGGTGACCGATGGTTCTTGCATGATAGATCGCCGTATGGGAATCCATGGCCACCCTCTGGAAATTCAGGTCCTTCCTTTTTTTCTTGCCTGCAAGCAAGCTTGTCATTTGTGATATTTTTACCTCAGATATATTCTTTCTTCATTCTGATTTTTCTTTTAAAAAAAAATTATACTTTCCCCTGGAGTGATGGCTGAGTTTTACTTTTCTTTTCTTTATCCTCTCTTTCTCCCGGTAAATCTAACTTCTGTCATCTGAAGTTGCTTTACATACTTATCTGATGTCATTCATTCATTCTTTCGAGCTCAAATTAGTAGATGCGCCAGCCTCCTATCATGACTTTTCTTCTAGCTTACAGAGAGGATATCAGTTCTAATTGATGTATTGAACTCTAAAGTGCTGTTACCTTACTGTCTTCCTCCATAAGCTGTATGCTGCTATCTTGTTTTATCTTTTTCCTCTTTCTTGAGACTGGAAACATCGTTATTGACATTTTACCTGTCGGGCCTGACTGACCTCTCTGATTAATCATGTCAAAGACCTAACATCTAATTTTTTGCTATGATATGAGGATGATATTCACCTTCTAGTTTCTAAAAAGAAAGGTGTATGTTCTCTCTGATTACATATGCCATTGTAAGTGACCTCCCCAATCTTTAATCTCTGTTAGTAGCACCATCATTTGAATGATCTCAGCAAAAAGTGCAGGTTTATCACCAGAAATAAATATCCAGATACAATTACCTTTATTGACAAATAGGCCAGAAGGAGACGAAAGGAAATGTCATATTATTCATGTTTATATACTCGTTACAGGTTCTAAGCTAATCATAATACATGGTCAATATTCCGTTATAGGTTTTTTCTTGCTGTAACTACAGACATGCCTATTGGTTGTACATATGCTGGGTACATGTTACAAACTCTATTTTCAGTTTCATTGCTTCTTCCAGCTATGTGCGTGATGTTTCATGGTTTGCAGGCGTTATATTATTCAGCCTTACTTTGCGCACGAGAGATGCTTGCTCCAGAGGAGGTATCAACAGACCTTGTTAGGGCACTTAACAATCGTCTGCTTGCATTGTCATTTCATATCAGGGAATACTACTGGATCGATGTGAAAAAATTGAACGAGATTTATAGATACAAAACAGAGGAATATTCATATGATGCGATCAACAAGTTCAATATATATCCAGATCAAATTCCTCCCTGGCTGGTGGAATGGATGCCTAGTAAAGGAGGCTATCTTATTGGAAACTTGCAGCCAGCTCACATGGATTTCCGGTTCTTTGCACTTGGGAACTTATGGTCCATTGTAAGCAGTCTTGCTACTATAGATCAGTCACATGCTATTTTAGATCTTATTGAAGCAAAATGGGAAGACTTAGTAGCTGATATGCCACTGAAGATATGTTATCCTGCTCTTGAGGGCCAGGAATGGCGCATTATTACCGGCGGTGATCCAAAAAACACGTAATGCCTTATTTTCTTTTCTATTTATTTTGTGCATATTGTTTTCTATCCTCGTTGTAATTTTCCTCGCTTATACTTTTTCTTATACTCGTGGTGCAGGCCTTGGTCTTACCATAACGGAGGATCCTGGCCAACTTTGCTCTGGCAGGTAAGTTACCATTCTTCAGTATTCTTACCTCTGATTTCATGCTTTCAGCACTTATAGCTGCCATCACTTCCTATCTGAGAAAGAAGGGGACTAAATTTTGAGAAGTTCCCTTAAGAAATGATTGTGATTGACCAAATGCTGTTCATTTCAAACCCATGTGATAGGCAGATGTTTAGTCTATTGAATAACAGAGGTAATCATTGTTTAAAAGGAGAGGATAGGGAGTGATTTACCTATCATGGGGCAGTGTTAGTCTTAAGGCAGGGGGTTTAACTCCATGAATTTTTTTGGTATTTAATATTAAATTAAAACTGATTTTGCAAAAATAGTAAATACATAAAAAATATCATACAAAATTCAAAATTGTACGAAACCTAAGTTAAATATCTGAATCTAACAACATACATTCAATACATACAACATAGTACGTCACAAGATCTTACATAATCTTGTTAACATATATTATACACACATGCATGTATGTGTCTGTGTGCGTATAAATATCTATGTAATATAATATATGTATATATAAAGTTAAATATGTATGTATGTACGTACGTACGTACGTATGTATAAATATTATATGTATGTAACTGTACAAATATGTGTGGGGTCAAATATTTACTAAAAATATTTAAGAGAGAAAATTGATCTGGGCGCATGGGGCACAGAGGCGGACCTAGCGGACCTATGCTATCAAGAGAGGGGGTCACCGGCACCAGGAAAGTTCGGCAAAATTTCTACGAATACATGTATATGTTTTTAGAAAATACTGATATATTAGTAGTGACACCCTATATACAAAGCAGATTTCCTTCAAATCCCGAGTCCGCCTCTGATGAGGCAGATGCCTCGATGCACGTGTAAAAGGTGAATCCCTCCCCCGCCCCCTTGTTGAGGCATTAACATCATAGATATTTGCCCCGATGATTGCTTAGTAGTCCGTCAATTTATTCCGATTTACAGATTGACCACTATGAGTTTCACCCACAAATGTATGAGAGATGTTCACAAGCTTGATATACTGCATTGTGTTGGAAGGAAACTTTAAAATTCAGGGTGACATATAATGCAGTAATTAAGGAAAAGTGTCTGTTCCGTTTGTTTACGGTTTAACTTTGAAGATGCCTTTACCTTAAACGCATAAGAAGAAACATAAATATTTGAAAACTGATTCCCTTTTTTAGTGCTGTCATGTCTTTTTGGATTATCTACTAAGAAATGTATCTTTAGCACTGAAGTCATACTTTTTAACTGTGTGCAACATGAGTTATACATGTGTTAGACGTAATATAAGAACTAGGCAAATTAGAAGTATATAACTGTAGCTGCAATAGTATTCTGTCATCTCATCTGAGCATTCACATAAATGTTTTTAACATATAGTAGAATCGAACATGGAAGAGATTCATCCGAACACAGTAAAGATGAGCTGATTATTTTATATATGAACCGTTTTCAGTTGACTGTGGCATGCATAAAAATGAAGAGGCCAGAAATAGCTGAAAAGGCAATTATGATTGCTGAGAGACGCTTAGCGAGAGACAGGTGGCCGGAATACTATGATACAAGGCGAGGAGGGTTCATCGGAAAACAGGCACGTCTCTTTCAGACGTGGACTATTGCAGGATATCTAGTGGCAAAGCAACTTATTGCCAATCCAGAAGCTGCAAAGATTTTAATCAATGTGGAGGATACAGAACTTCTAAGTGCCTTTTCAAGCATTCTGAGTTCAAACCCAAGGAGAAAACGTTCACGAAAAGGAGTTAAGCAGTCTTTCATCATATGAAAATTTTCTTTTTGTTAATTAAGCTTTTGTGTGATATTGGTCTAAGATGAGCTTAAATGTAACGATATGGTTAGTGAAGATTCATATATATCCGATCCCAACTCAGCTTGGGATTGAGACATAGTTGTAAATGTTACCTAAAGCGTTTGTATAGTTACTATAATGGAAAATTTGTGGCAACATGGCATATGAAGGTGCTGTCCTGTATCAACTTTCCCTCTGTAAATTCATCAAAATCCCAGCACATTGTATCTGATTTTCTTTTCCCATTTTCACTTCCCTGTCCCTGCTGGAGCAGTTATCTCCACAATAGTAACCGGGAACCTTTTTTTCTTTCTTTTCCGCGGCAGCAATCAGTAACATTTACCAATGGCAGATTACAGGGATTTTTAAGTATGCACTTGCACATGTATTATCTGATATTGAAATATTATTTGCAAGTCAATGTATGTTTTACAATTTTGTCCATTTTTTGAACTTTCACTTGAAATAGAGGATTTGAAATTGAAAAACTTGTTCGGGGAGTATTTGAAGTGGAATAAGGACCTCCCAACTGGCAAGTATGCTAGGGTGCTCAAGTTCAACCTAAACAAGTGTCATTAAGAACCCCTTTACCATAAAAATGCATGGTCAATCGTTAAACAAAAGAAGCATTTTGTCAAACTTCTCTCTCTTGACAAGAAAAAAAAGTTTCATATTGGAAGTGAAATGCAAGCACCAATTGCTAAAAAAAAATGCAAGCACCAAATTAACACCAGCACTTCATGGAAGTTGGGACTTGATAAAAATGCACATGACCATGGTATTTAGCTTGTATGCTCTGCTACAGTCAAGAAGATACATTTGCTCTTTTAATTTTGATGTAGTAGTTTTACAGCATGTCTATAGAACAAAATAGCATGCGCAAAAGACGAAAATTCTCTTGACCAAAGATCTGAAGCAGAATTGGCATGTGATAATGCATCATCTTTCCTACAAGACTTCTTCATGATCGAGCCAAGGGGAGAGGTGGGCAACAGGACAAAGTACATGAGTAGTGTCAAGATTCACCTCTGTATATTTGTACAGATCTTTGCTTGACCTAGTCATCTAAACAATAAACACAGAACATTGCATACCCAGAATACTGGAATCTGGCTTTACAAGTCCCTGTAGTTCAAACAATGAGCAAATAGTGCATACTATATGCTTTGAATAACCAACTGCCCAATTGGCAGTAAGAATACTGGTGATAAAAATAAACCTATGAACCTAAATTTTGTTCTCAGCCACAATGCTTTCCAACAGTGAATCACAAGCATCTTCGAGCAGATCCAGTACCTGTGAGCAAGAAATGGCGGGGTTAAGCATTAGATGCTTGTTGCTGGCAGTGAGCATCAACCACAAGAACAATGGCTAACAAAAGCAAACTTTGCCCTATGTTGTTCGGACTCGATTGCGGGTTATCCCATCCGAGTGCATATCTAGAGGTCGAATCCTTCATAATCTAAAATTTTAAGATTCAGGGATGTGGATCCAGGTATGGATACGAGTGACGGAATTCGGCTAAAAATAATTTAAAATTCTAAAAATTGATCTATAAAAATATCCTAATTTATGAGAGATATTCTGTGGGAAACTTATAGGTTATGGAGTACAGTCAATAATATAATCTTTCAATTTGAGAATTTCTCAAGTTGTAGGCACTACACACTGCAGGCAGCAGCTAAAATTCAATCTTCATTTTTCATTGTTCCTCAAATTTGTCCATAGATTGTGGTCAAAGTACCAGATCTCGATCGACCACACCTGGTACGAATCCCACACCCTTACTAGTACCAGTGTCGTGTCGACATGGGTTTGGATGCTAAAATGAAGAGTCCCCAGCAACATAGACTATGTCGACACATAATATAAAGGCAGTAGCAACAAAACACCATAATATTAAATTAATAGGGTCTTTTAAGAGCTTCAGAAGTGTCCACTTGCAGAAATTCTTATCACTGCAAAGGAGCTTTTGCTTTTAAAGAAAAGGCTTTCCTGGCCAGGAGCGGTTGTAGAGTCGATGCCCTGGGTTCATCCGAACCCAGTGCTTTCGGCGCGGAGCATAAATTCATATATAAAAAATCATCAAAATTGCAAGAAATGGTATGTCTGAACCCAAATAATGTTTAAAGTACAATAGGTTCAATGCTAAGAATGCTAAGAACTGGAAAGGGAAATTGGTGTTTACCCTTGGATATGTACTGTTTCTTGGTAATTAATAGACAAATCTTTAATTGCCAAAAAAAAAAATGGAACCTTAAAGATTGAACCCATAGATTTTAAATTCTGGATCCGCCTATTTTCCTGTCACTTTCTCTAGAAATCATTCAACAGGAAGAAAAGAAAATTGTTCCCGGCTTATTGAGAAGACCTTGGGAAACTACAATCGTATCTAAATTTCCTTTTCAATTCTTTTCACAAATTCAAGGACTTCGCAAAAGTTCGCCAAAATACCTCCTTGGATTTTTCCTAACCAAATATTTCAAAATGATTCTTGTCAATAGCGTATATTTTAGGACTCTATTGTCCTGTATTCTATCTTGAAGACACCTATAAGCAACTAAGGCTTATGAAAATGGGATGACAAAACAAGCATCAGGACGCATATGTAGGACTTATTTCATAATACATGTAGGTTCTATGAAAAGCAAGAAGAGAAATGAGGTATGATCTGACAGAGGAAAAAGTCCTACTTTAGATTTTAAAACATGGAGGGTGGAATCCGAGGGGTTTGCTCACATGGTTAACGGTTGGTGGGACTTGTTTGTAGATAGGAGAGTCCTGATAATGTTTTGGCTAGGACACTGAAGCTACTAAGTTAAAACTGAGGAGCAAAACACTAATTCCTTTTGGATGCCCTGAGAAGAAGATTACACATTTGCTGAATAAAATAATGGTTTTGGTAATATCAGGAGGAAACGGATATATCAAACTGAGAAATGGCAGAGAAAGTTGATGCTGCTATGGAGCTAAAAGAAGTGGAAAAGCTGGAAAAGATATCCTGGAGATAAAAGTCTCGAGTCTTGTGCTGAAGTCTGCTGATAAAAAAAAACTAAATTCTTTTAAAAATGGCAAACGATCATAGCAGGCATAATCAGATTGACATATTAAAAATTGTTACGAAATTAAACAAAAGAACAACAATAGTAGAAGAAGTGCAAGACTATTGAGAGGGATATACAAGTTTCTTGATTTCATTCGAGCGTATATAACATAAACTTCAGTGCCTCCGATTGTAGACCTTCCATCGTAAGGTGCAAAGTTCATGTGGACCAGGGTGGACGAATCAAGGTCAGTGTTATCAAAAGCGAAAAGCGCAAAAAAGTTCTAAGGTCTGTTGGGCTTTAAGCGCAAAACGCAAATAGAGCATGGGCTTTAACGGAGAAAGACGCAAATGGAGAAAAACTACAAATATATATATGTGTAGTCCAAGACTAATATATTAAATAAGCATGAATACCAAATATATGGATAAATAAATTGAAAAAAATTCACGATAAAGTGAAATATCAATTGTTTAGTGTCGCCTCTTCAGGATTACGCTCATTGGCAAGGAAAAGTATGACTTAGAGCCTCAATGACAAAACTAAAGTGCCCGCTAAGCGAGGTGAAGCGCTCAACATGTTTTGAGCCTCACTTCAGGGCTTAAGCGCGCCTTTGATAACACCGATCAAGGTCAAAATCAGGATGACAGATTCTTGGTTCCCACCACTTAGGAGGAGATGGTGCCAAACATGGTTCAAGTACCTTTCCTCAGATTTGTTTCAGACCAATAATCCATCATTTTAGACTCTACCAAAATGAGAAGAACACAGTCTCCTTTCACGTTTGACACGTAGTTGAAAGAGGGGTTTTGGAGGTAGGAAGTCACAGTGGTGAGGAAGTTATCAGTCACTGGAGTCATTTCGTCTACCAAACAAACTGAAGCTCTTAAAAGGGAATGGAACAAGGAGGTGTTCGGGAGGGTTGATGTCAGGATAAGGGAGTTAATGAATGAATTCACGGGATAGTTAGCTACACGGGATATAACTCAAGAGACATTCTTTAGTTTCTTTCTTCTCCGTGCAGCCTAAGCTATTAAGATGAAAGGTAATATGAGGTGAGAAGCTAGATAAATTGCTTTTGCATTGGGTATTAATGCATGTGCAGATAAGTATTGTGTGCATATTTCAAATAGCACTAGTTTTTCGAGAATAGTCTTCTACCATAAGAAAATGACAGCAGGCTGTATTATAGATAACACATAAACTAAGTATAGTAGGTCAGGCTCATAATTTAGGAAAACACAAAAACTTAAGTTTTCTCTTCATTCTCCTAAAGCGTTGAGAACAAACTCAATGATGTCTCCTGTTTATTATCCATTCTTTCCATGAAAATGTAGTTAACAATTGTGTTTATTATCCATGATTCATTTTTGCTGCTGCATTGTTTGAGGTATAAATTGGCATAGTCTTGTGAATTAACTTCCTAATTCAAGCCAATAGAACATAACCTTCTATGTTAGATATCATAATGCTCCAAAAGTTAACAAAATAAGCACTAGTGAGTTTCTCCTGTATAGCCATCTAAAATGTGAAAATCAGGCAGCTTTTGGGTTATTTCTCATGCCTTAACAAGAAAAGACGGATTATCAAACATTACCTTCTCAAAACCTTGAGCTCCACCATAGTAAGGGTCTGGAACTTCAGTTTCTTCATGCTTCTTACAATAGGAACACATCAAGCGAACCTGAACGTTAAATGCACTTTGAGGACAACAGACTTAAGAATTGCACTTGATAACGAATACCAGCGTAAGATCTATATATTAGCAAACCTTTTCAGGTGCATCAGCTGGTAATGTCTCTCTATGGATCCACCTCTCCAAAGCTCCAAGTATATCAGCTATGAGGGGAAAAATATCAGTTCTTGATACAGTACATATGTTCAAATAATCAACATTATCACAAGAAGTTGTGTAGCTTAACATAAAGGGGTCGTTTGGTATGTGGGCTAAATTATCCCGGGATTATACCCCACCTGGAAGGTGGAATAATATAATCCCCAAGTTTGATGGGATAAGGTGGGATATAACTTATACCGTCAACCAAACATGGTATAAATTTAATCTCACACCTTATCCTCCTTATCCCGCGTACCAAACAACCCCAAAGGGTAGAACAAAGCATGAAAAGAACCAATAAGAAAGAAAAGCTAAAAAATAAATCTCCAAGAATTTGACATAGGATTGTGCAAAAACCTACCTTTGTTTTGCTTATCCATAGCAAGAATGAGATCAAAATCTTTGAAATCAGAAGGCCTAATTGGCCTAGATATAGAAGTTATCGCAATTCCACGCCTTTTAGCAGCAGCCCTCATTCTTGGGTCAGCTTCATTTCCCTTAAAAAACAAGAACAGAATAAACAAAATCAATTTCAAGAAAGCTTCAAAACCATAAAAACTTATAATTTTTACAGACACCCAATTGGCTATACCTCATGATAATTAATAGTACCAGCTCAATCAATCTAAAACATGATCAATTTCCAAGAAAGTTCCAAACTTTATTAGATTTTACAATTTTTACAGACACCCAATTGGCCAAACCTCATGATAATTAATAGTACTAGCTGAACCCTCAGGGTTGGCCTGGTGACAATTGACTTGAGCCTTGGGGTTTGCTCCCTTTCAAGGTCTCAAGTTCGAAACCCACTGGGTGCAAACAATTTCTGAGGGCCATCGGACTGGGTAAAACCTGAATTAACCGTGGTGCACTTGCGGAAAACTCCTTGCCGAGGGCTTGTGCACCCCGGGATTAGTCGGGGCTCAAAGAGACTCGGACACCCGGTGCAAATCAAAAAAAAATTAATAGTACTAGCTGAATCAATCTTAAACATGATCAATTCCAAGAAAGTTCCTAACTTTATAAACTTCTATAAATCTTAAAGACACCCAATTTGCTATACCTCAAGATAATTAATAGTACCAGCACAATCAATTTCAAGAAAGTTCCAAACTTTAAATTTTTAAAAAAATATACAAATTTCACAGACACCCAATTTGCAATACCTCATGGTAATTAATAGTACCAGCAGAATCAATCTTGAACTTGGAATCAAGTCCTCTTTTTTTGACCAAATCAGTAAAGACACCTTCAGCAGCTGGGCTTCTGCATATGTTACCAAGACACACAAAGAGGACAGAGAATGGTTTAGTCTGCTGTGAATTTGCTTCTGTGTTTGATTCTTGGGATGCCATTGAAGCTTTGATTATTAGTCTTTTATGGCTTTTTACAAGAGGGTCTGAGTTTTGAAGAAATGGGTATTTAGAAGGAAGACGAAAGGTTAGAAATGGGAATTTCAGAGAGTGAGAGTAGTGGTAGTTTGGTAATTTTGAGGTTGTTGGGATAGTCAGCGTAGTATACAATAAGGAACTCATCACTCAGCTCCTTGGATGTTTGCAATGGTGGTTGGTCTTGGACAAAAGGTTCTGGTAACGTACGAATAAATAAAGCTAAAGATATATGAGAAATGAGAAATTATTTTAAAAGGCAAATTTTAGAATTTAGACTGAAAATTAGAATAAATATAAAAAATCTATACAATTAATTTTGGGATTGAAGTGTTGTTATTTTTGTGAATTTTAGGTTGGTCTCGCACTTTTTTTTCTTTCCTTTAATTATTAGGTTGTTCTTCTTGATACTCTGCTAATCTTTTTAGACATAATTTATTTTTTTGTTGTTGAAAAAATATTTAGAGTTATGACAGAGTTAACTTTCTGTTTGAAACAAATACATTATACCTACATTCTCACTTATTTGCAAATGGAAGTTAAAACGAGACAAAATATATAAACAATCGCGGTTTGTCTAATGAGGAACTAGGAAAATTTGATACCTTGCTAGAGATTTCAGTTTTCCATTCCAATTGAGCATCAGGTTGCATTGCTTTGATACATACCACAGTCAACAATTTTATGAAACATTACCTATTGTGGAACATGTACACTATATGACCTATATCAATTAGTTACTTAGATTACACACATTATGTTAAAATGGAACACCAAACCTATACTTTTTCAAACCTACAGTATTGCTAAAACATCTCAAACTCAATATTGATCTCACCTATATTTTTTAACTCATTTTGACACTTACTGCTCTCCTTATGTTGTTGGTTTGCATCAGGGAAGACATTTGCCAAGTCGTAGGATCTAGGTATTTCTGGAGGTGGTGAGCATCGAATTAACGCCCAGTTGAGTCCGTCAAAGAATGGATGCTGCTTTATTTCTGCTGCCCCTCTCACAGCTCCTAACCTATTCTCAGGTTCCTTCTGCAGCAACCTTTTGATTAAATCTCTTGCATGAGAACTAACAGTAGGACTTTCTGGAAACTTAAGACATTGAGAAACCACATTGGCCAGTGTATTCTCATTTGCTAGCCCTTTGAAAGGAGTCCTTCCATATAAAAGCTCATACAAAAAGATTCCGAAGGTCCACCAATCTACTGCACTGCCATGACCTTCCCCTTTGATAATCTCTGGAGCCAAGTACTCGTGCGTTCCTACGAATGAGTTGGATCGAGCATTTGTTGGCTCTACAACAAGCTGCGGTAGAGGTGAGACTTGTGCAGGTAGATCAGCCTTTAGCTTACGCGTCTTTGCTGCAGCAGATAAAAACCTGGGGCTGAAGCAGGATACTTGCCAGGATGGATTTAAGCAGAAGGGATCAATGCAGCTGGATACTGAGCACTGACTAGACTTCTTTGAAGGCTCAATGACAGGAGAAGATGATTTCAGCAAGGTAGGATTAACAGCGCATCTTAGAGACAAATCAAAATCAGAGAGCATGATATGACCATCTTCTCGGACCAATACATTCTCGGGTTTTAAGTCACGGTAGACAACTCCAAGCAGGTGAAGGTATTCCAATGCAAGAAGAACTTCAGCAACATAAAATCTGCACACAGCAAATAACAGTCGAAAGTTAAAACATATAACTTACCATGTCTCACCTTAAAATGTTGAACAAAATCACAAGAAGCCATCTTAAAATCTGGAGAGATGAAAGGCTCAAAACACAGGTTGCATATCCCAACTCATTTCTTTGGAAATTAATTAACCAGAAAATAATCTCCATATATAGTGGGTATCCAGTTAGGATATGGCATGCAAGCATGGTAATGTTATAAGAAGGGATGCAAGAGAAATGGAAGCTCATTTTCATTACTTCCACCTATTCACTACATAAATTCAGCATTTGTATTCCTAAGATGCTATATTTTTCTCCTTTCCCCTCTTTACATTGAACTGAATCAACTGACATGCATTCTATCATTTTGCTGCTAAATGTTTTGATATTAGCTAGTACTCCTATTTAGCAATCTAATTATTGATTGTCTTCCCCTGAAAGCAACACTTGCCATAAATTCACAGAGTTCTGCCAAAGACACAAGACCAATGCTTAATGGGGCAAAATGGGAAGACCAAAAAGGAGAAGAAACAGAAGTTAAAACATCAAGGAAAGAGCAGCAAATTTTTGGTTGGCAGATTAGATCCCTTGAAGTTTTCTAAAAATTGCCACACCGACCCTTTAAAGATACAGAAACTCACTCATTAGAACAAGTAGTTTCATTACCTCCCTTGACCAAGTCACAATTAGTGTGAAGATCCAAAGTTATAGGGAATGAAAATCTTCATCTCAATTTTTATGGTATGGTCCAATCAAGAAATCAATTTTTGGTTCAACTGAATAGCAGAAAAAAGCAAACAGCTGTAATGCAAATTGATTATTTTGGTTGGCCAATTATCTTATAAAAACAACTTTAATAGATTAACCTGGAAATTGGTAAAGAGGATATCTTATCACTTTCTCTTAAACCCTGAGGTTTAAGAGAACTTTTTTCCCCTTATTAAAGGCACTTCTAACTCTTATAAGTCTTCAGCCTCTTTAAAGTACCCTAAGCCAGAAAAATTACCTGGCAGCTTGTTCAGAGAAATTCTTGCTTGGTTGTTTTTGTCGGAGTACATGCAGATCACCACCTGGACAATAATCCATCACTAAACACGAGTATTTCTCATTAGTAAAATGGGCATAGAGTGTAGGAAGAAACGGATGATCGAGTATTTGAAGAATTTCTTTTTCAGTCTGAGCTCTCGTCATCTTCCTCTTGCTGGTCAGGAGGTCATTATCCATAACTTTCACAGCAAAGATACAGTTTGTGCCCGTTAGCTCAGAAAGATAAACATTCCCAATATCCCCACCTCCAAGTTTTCTGAGCAGCTTAAAATTCCTTAAGCCAATGTTTCCATGCTGCTTCTGAACACAAATAATAGCTTTCCATCTTAAATCTTTTGACATATGAGGCCGATAACCACTGCGACTAGACCCACTGAGATAGCTTTCATCGCTAAGGCTTGTGGTGCTGCTATAATCCCCAATACTACTCTTCGAACTTTGAGACATCTGCCCCTTTATCTTTGACCCCGATCTTTCATCAGCTTTTGTAAGTATACTTCTTTCTCTGTTACAACTCCTTGAGCTCACAACTAGTTTAGCAACACCAGACTTCAGAGCAGAAGAACTAACTTCTATGCTACTTACACCACAGGAAGCTGGAGATTCCTTATCCTCTTCTTTCTGACTATTTCTCGGAGCATATTCAGGTGTCTCACAAGGAAACTCACTTGTACGACAAGCCAAATCACTATCAATTCCACCATTAGATTGCTTGGAACTGCTGACAAAAGCAGATAAGACTTTCTTCTTAGAAAACATTTTGCTTCTGAAAACTGGGTTCATCAAACTTGGGCTGCTAGAAGTAGGCTTGATGACTTTATTTCCTGCACTAAATATAGATGAGCGAGACAAAAACTTTAAATCTCGTTCGTGCTCCCTGTCAGCTACAATTGCAGCTGTTCGAGCTTCATCTACAGCAGGAACCACCTGATCTTGTACTAATTCCATTTTATCAGTACAACTGGCAGTTGAAGAATGTAGTAACTCCAATGTCTTTTTCTGGCCAGACACTTCTTTCAGGTAATCGCAACCAATATCAATTGCCGGACAAAAAGCCTCACTTTCTGCTTGTATTTTACTTGCCTTATGTTTCATTGCATCTTCGGGCAGATTGGTTGTACAAGTGACAAAAGTAGATTGTTCTTGAGCTGGCACATTCTCAGATTCAGGACTTTTAACTGAAGAATCTGACATCCTCCTCTCTAGGACGAGCGATATCTGCATCAAATTCCCTACGCCTCCATCAACATGATGATTAGGGCCTTTGCTCTCAACCAAAACAGCCCTGTACAGTCTCTTGACAGCCCCCATTTCTGGGACTGTAGACAACTTGGATGCGTTTGACGATTGCTTCTTCACGGCAGCCAGCTCTGATGCCTGAGAGATGCATAATCCTCTCAAGGCCTGCTTCAAATTTACAGGCTCAGAAATTCCTATGCCTGATGCACGAGAGGGGCTAGATCTCATTGGCCTCTTCATCGCGCTTTTACTCATTACATCTTTGACACCCCTTTTCGACTTACTCACACCCCTATTGCAATTCCTAATCTCTATCGCCTCAAACAGTTTATTAATATCATCTTCAATACAATATTTTTTCATACACTTCATGTGATGATGCATTTGCGCATCTTCACTCATTTTAGATGCAGGATCCTCCATTGACTCTGTAATCTCACTACTACCAGGCAACCTAGCCATTCTTCCTAGAAAACTATATATAAGACCGAGAAAAACACAGTTTAATGCGTCCACCGGTAACTACCTAGCCCATTTCCCGCAAAGCAATATCAAGAGAAAGAAGTACACACATCAAACAGTACATCAGAAACCCTCCAAAATGGCGAGCGATCACATTCAACTCCAAATGATGAACGAGAGCAAAGACAGTACTGTGTACTTGCGTCCAGCATTCATTGCCTGATGCAAACAGTGAAAGTCCAGAAATATTAGTAGATAATAAATTGGACACTTTAAGACATTGTAAGGATCAATTTTATGATTGCAATTACAGCTAGCTGTTCACAAGTTAAAGCAAATAAATGTTGATAAATTTGTTAGTTTACATCCTACTAAGGAAGACAACCACCTCCAGGGAACATATTAAACACAAATTTAGAGCACAAGTTTATTTCCTACTTATGTAACTTTTCTTGCATATTTTATCAATCCTGATCAGCTGACTCTATCATCCATCATAATGATGGTGTAAAAATATTTTTTATACTGACGGTGTATATAACTTATACTCATTTGAAAAACAACATAAAAGAAGCAGAAGAAAAAGTGGGAATGCCAAAAAACATTCAAAATATTATCTTCAATTTGATTGCATAAACACGAATTTGTCCTACATAATTAATACAAGGCAAATCAACAAAGCTATTCTCACAACTCAAAAATAAATAAATAAACTTCATCAACAAATAGCAAAAACCAGAAGAAAAACATAATACTCCTTCTGTCCAAATTTTGGTTAGACTCTTTACTTTTCGGTCCATCCCTTATCTTCATATTTAGAAATAATTTTAACTTTAAACATCTTATTTTACCTTAATGAGATGATTTAAAGTCACATAAATATTATGATTTGCTTTAGACCACAGAGCCCACACATCGGGAGCTTAGTAAACCGGGATGACCCTTTTTTTTTATGATAGATTTTAAAAGTTTTTTTTCTTCTTAAACATTGTGCTTAGTCAAACACACTCACGTAAATTAGGACGATGAGTACAATAGAACCAACTTGTAGGTTTCTTGTAAACAATTTTTTTTTTTAAAAAAGAAAAGAAAAAACAACCTAAGCTTGTTATTGTCCACAATATGTCATGCATAACCAAAACAATTAGGTGCAAAAATTCAGAAAATGAAAAAAAAAAATATACATATAGAAAGGGATGAAGGAGCAACCTGAAAAGTGATCAAAGCAAAGGGAGAGCTGAAAATTTCATTGAACCGAAGATAAGTAGGTTTATTTCAACTGTATATTATGCGTTTAAAGGAGAGAAGGTTGAAGTGAAATACAAGGATAAAGTAGAAGAAAACAATGGAAGATAAGTCGATTATTACCAAAAACAAGCTTTGAAGAGCACGAGAGAAAGAGGGTGAAATTGAATGAGGAAAGAGAGGAAATGAAACAAAAAGAGTTATGTTGGCAAGAAAATTCACGAGAAGTCACACTGTTCATATTTTTCTTTTGTATGGGAGCATGCATTGAGGGAAAGCACTAGCTTCTTATTTGGAGGAACACATTAATTTTTACTTAAATTTTATATTTATATTTAAAATTATAAAATATATACAAATACAGTCACATCTCCATATAGCAACATGATATAACAGTCATTCGCTATAAAAGTCAAATTTTTTATGGAACCAATTCTCATGTTATGTTATAATATATGTTCTTTATAACATCGTTTAACTATAATAACCAAAAAATTTGGAACAAATGAAGCTGTTATAGAGGAGTTTGACTGTATAAATTTAATAACAAATTCATAACCATAAACTTCAAATTTTAGCTCCGTCTTTACACAGGAGAGCTCCCCAATTTTTGATTTATTTACTTTTGACAATAAAAATGTTGTACTGTTAAAGCAAGCTTCTTAGAAGTTGACTTCCTACTTATGCTAATTTTGAAATTATCCTTAAAATTGATTTGGACGCGCTGAAGCAGCTGCACACTCGCGCTAGGCAGCGAAATTTATTTTCAAAAATTAAGAACAAAAATTGAACATGTAGTTTTTTTTATAGTTTTTTTTAATTCATTTAAACTTGAATTAGTTTCAAACAGCGGATTAAAATGATGAATGTATATGTTGTTTGGTCTGCCTTAATTTGGGGTAAAGAGCGGGTTTGAACGAGGAGACATAGGGAGGTTACTAGAATTATTTGATTTTAAATGTCTTCTTTTCCTTTTTATGTGTTTGTTCTTGCTCTTTTTTAGTTTTGCTTAATATTAAATGTTTGTTATAAATAATTATCTAATGGTGGAGGTCCATAACTCATAAAAGAGTAATATCTACTACTCTTCTTCATTATTTTCATAACTCCCACTACTCCAATACTTATGAAATTATGGTTGTAACTCTCATATCTCCATAATCTCCCCATGATCTTCCTCCATGATCTCAAATGTTTAATGTCATATTTATATCATCCCCTAAAGGAGCAGAGATAAGGTAGAACCTCTCAATGTCATGTAATACTATAAATAGAGGATGAGAAGTGATGTTATACACACTAATACATAGAAGAAATAAGAACCTCTCATCTCTTTCTCCCTACATTCTTGTCTATTTCTTGTTTTATATTATTACTTTGAGTTAAGTGTTATCAGCACGATTCTCTAATATTTTATTTATATCATCCCTAAAGGACAGAGATAACTAAGTTTATGGTGGAACTACGGAAAGTGGACTATCCAGAATCATTGATATATGATGATTGTTGAGCCATTATATACCTTCGGCATTTCATATGCCATGTTGATCAGTTTGCTTATATTGACCATTTTAGTCACGTTATGTTTTTCAACAATGTTTTGGTCTTCTTTAACTTCAAAGCCACAAAATTCGGCATACAAGTTGAAGCGCTGCAGCAAAATTTTCGTATGGTCTTTCTATATCTAGTCACGAAAATGAAAAGGTAATATTGTGAATTCATAGTGCAATCCGAGGTATGCATCTGAGGTCTATCATAACTTAAACTTGAAGATATACTAATATATTAAAATAAAAATAAACTATTGGTTTGCTCACTTACTCTTAAATCCTTCAAAATTTTATGTAATTTATTCCTTTCGACTGTTGTACTTACTATCATGAATTGCAGGAGTTATATATTAGTTTGTTGTGGATGAAACAAGGTAGGACCATTAGATGCTAATATTTAGTCCATTAAATAACTTTTTAGTGGTTCTATAAGTTATAACATAATTTCTATAAAAGTTAGACATGTATATTAGGAAGGTAATAATTACTATATCTTAGAGTTCTCATGAAATTAAATTTCAAGCATATTAGAGCTAAATACTGTTAATCTGGAAATGGTGATTTCTAACTCATAATACTTATGTCACATGACCATTGGAGGAGTAGCCATATTACTTCTAGGATTTTAATTTGTTCGTAATACTATGTTGGAATTTTACTTTTCGATTTTTGTTTGGGTTTGTGATATGATTCTATTGCTTCTTTGAGAAAGAAAAACTTTTGTGAGTGAAAAACTTTACACTTAGTTTTCTATTTTGGCAAAGGAAATGTATTACGCTAATCTTTTGCTTTAGGCACATGAAAATAATGTCAATTATATTATGATTCATAATAATTAATTAGATGCACATATCGTCTATCGAGGTTGATTATTTGATGTGCTTTAACATCTTGATTGAGATATGAGATTGCATGGATACCCGCTAATTGGCTTTCTCTTCTGATAATATAGTTCTTAGGTTGCATCAAATTAAATATGTGATAAAGTGATGCAAATACTTAAGTTTTATTTATCACTATATACTTATAGCCATTGATAGGGATAGTACTTAAAAGTTTTATGATGATCGAATACGGTGATGATATTGATTGAGGGTAAAACAATGGGTTTAACTCCAACACATCATGAGGGTAAGACATCAGGATCCACTGATGCGCTATGATGATACGAGTTTGAGTCCCAACTCATTATGGCCTAACATGTCTTTATATGAGTAAGGCATTGGGTTTGAGTCCCAATGCACCATATTGATAATATAATGCTGACTAAAGAAAAATAATATATTTTTCATGAAAAGGCATGAAACTTGTCCTACTTGATTTGCTCCATTCTTGAAGTGAATGTGATAGCGGTGCATAATAAGTTTAAATGAAGACAAGTGGTTGACCAATGAACGTGGACGGGCCAAAGACCAAAATAATAATAGTCATCATTATGGTAATTATAAAATGAGGAACAATAAGAGTTCTAAAAAATAATCCTTCATAAAGTGAAGGAAATATTCGTCATTAATGTGGTATGTAAATATGAGGCACGTTCAGATGATTATGGTCCATTTCTTGAAAATGTGACTTGTGATAAGCATTGTAAATGCAGACTCATTCCTGAAAGTGAATGTGAATATATATATATATATATATATATATATATATATATATA